GATATTGAGTGTTGCGCTATTCCGGGATCCCAGAAATGAGCTGGGAACCTGTAACCTTTCAGTAATCCCCAACTGGTCTGATCCAGGGAAAAGTCTAATTCTGTTCCCCTGGTCTGAGATCTTCAAGTTCCTACCCTGGGTCTGGGCCTGAGCAATAATAGATGGCTGCTGGACTCGGTCCCTAGGTAGTTCTGCTGGTTCAGAATGACAGAACTGCAGGCTCCCCTTCAGTCTGGGATCCCCATTCCATTTATTCCTCTTTGGAGTGGGCCAGATGCTAAACGTGTCTCCTGAGGTCTGAGTCCAACCAGTTGCTTCTGAACTTTCTCCTCTCCCAGTATACTATTTAGCTCATCTCTACCCAGGAAGGTCACACCAATGCACACGTCCCTTTGAGAGGGGTATCTGCCTTAAATCTGTGACCCAGAACTGGGAGTGAGAGGAAAAGCTGCCAAGTGACACTTGTCTCCATCTCAGTGCCCCAGTGTGGGTCTGGAAACTTCTCTTGCCCTGGTGCACATCCCCTCCCTGGCCACTGCAATGCCCCATCACGCTCCTGCTCTGACCCAGTCCCCATTATCAGCAAACTTCTATCTCTATATGCTGAACTGGGCTGGACAAAGGACTCATTGTGATTTTTTTTTCTGTATTTGGTCTGGTGCATTTTTTAGATCTGTTTAGAGAAGTTGTAGATGGTAGCTCATCTGCACCGCTTCTTGCTATTCCACCATATTGGCTCCCCACCCTTAACATGAACCATGCTTGATAAAGTCATGCTGATTTTCAGTGATCATTGTTTCATGTCCACAAGTCCACATACCATTCCTTTATGAATGTATTCTGGGATTTTTCCAGGAACAGAAGTCAACCTACGACCTGGGTTTGCTTCCCTTTTTTTAAAATTTGTCACAATGTTTGCATTTCTCTAGTCCTATGGAATCTCTCCCATTCTCAAGGTTCTTTTCAAGACCAGCAACAGAGGCTCAGCAGCCACATCATCCAATCTTTTCAGTAGCTTGTGATATAATTTTATCTGGGTCTAGAAATCTGTACGCGCTGAGAGAAGCTAGATGCTCCTTGATCATTATATTGCTTTTCTTCAGTTTTCACTAACTGCTAACCAAAGTTTGTTCTATCCTTCTAAAAACAAAAGCCATTCTGTTTGGCACAGAAAAGAGAAACAAAACAAGTGCTCTGTCTTCTCTCTATTATCTGCCATCTACCCCAAACAGTTTAACCCCTTTCATGATCTTTCTCTTGCAGCCAAAATAGTTAAAAAGGAAAAAAAATACCCAACCCTTTCTGTTGTCCATAGTACTCATTGGCAGCCTCTGATCATTCTGGCCTTTAACAATCCCGACTCAAAGCTTATAGGATCTTATCCTGCTCAGTTATTTTCCCTAGATTCCATGATAGATAGATAGGTACGTAGATACATAGATAGCTAGGACAGATTTATGTAGCTATATATCTAGATACAGATAGATAAATACAGACAGATAGATATAGGTATCTATGTAAAAACCTAAGTTTGTCAATGAATTCATTGTCAATGAATTAGATCAGTCTCTTTAGGCATTGGTTCTTTTTCCTCCCCATCTGAATCATTTCTACTTATATCTTCATTTTCAGTCTCAGGTGTTTCTCATTTCTCTTAAGTCGATTTCCTCTTCAAAATACTAATCCATTGGGTCCTGCCTATTCTTTCTCTGAAACTTTTGACATTTGCTGTCCCCAAATCTAGGGTGAATCTCAAACCACACATAACTTTGATCTCCTTTACTATTATAAAGTCTGTGATAACAGTAGTCACTTGCCTCAAGGTTCCTTTTATTTATGTGTTAGGAATTATTACATTATTGTTCAAAATCAGATCTAGAATAGCAATTTCCATCACTCCCTCCATGTTTTGAAGAATGAAATTATCATTAGGACAAATCACAAATGTATGAGCCACTCTGCCCCTGGAAGAAAGAAAGCTACCACAGATGTCCAGATGATTAAATTCCCCCATCACTACAATATCATTCTTCCATCATAGCTTTGTAACCTGCTTCCCAAGATCTTTATCTAATTCTTCCTTCTGTTCAGGTGGTCTGTAATTTACTCCATGACAACCTTCTCTTTCTACCTCCATTGATCCTCATCCAAATGTTCTCTAACATAGTTCTTTCCTCAAGGTTCTGGATTTCTTCACATAAGCATATTGTTAATATATAAAACTGGTCACCCACTGACCCACTTTAATTGATTCTCTTCATTTTAAATAAAATATACTCTTCTGGAACCAAAATCAAGTTATACATTTCAATACTACCAAGTCTCTATGATACATGTAAAGTAACATTTGCCTCCTTACACTAGGTTCTTTATTTTTCCTTTTTTATTATCTATTTTTTGTGCATTTGCATATAAACATCTGAGGCCATGGGCCACTGGATTTGGTAACTTGGAGATCACTGGTAACTTTGGATACAGCAGTTTCAATGGCATGATAAAGTCAGAAGCCAGATTATAAAGGTTAAGGAGAGAGTGAGAAGAGAGAAACTGTAGTGCCATTTTTGAAGAGTTTAGCTATGAAGGGCAGAAGAAATACAGGACAACAGCAGAGATGGAAGGATCAAATGAAGGTTTTTCAGGCTAGGCAAGGCATGTTCGTGGACAGTAGTGAATGAGCCGCTGGGAAAGGAGAGAGCGAAAATAAGTAAAAGAGTGGGGATGACATAGGGGACAATCAGTTGTAGGAAACAGGATAGAATGGAATCACTTAATCGGGTAGAGGGGTTAGCCAGAGATATTTGGCAATTTTTAAATAAATAAATTTTACACAGGTAATGACTTCAGAGTAACCTAGCCTTTGGAAATTAAAATCAGGAGAGACAGAAAATGTTTACCATAAGCAAGGATAGAATAAAGGCTAGGACAGACAGACCCAACACCCTGAACCAGGAAGTCTAGTCCAAACAATAGATAGACTCAGACTTAAGAATAAAAATACTAAATACTTAGCTTTGACAGTTTCTTTTTCTAAAGAGTTTGGCACCTGAAGCTGAGAATCTACAGCTAAAACTGAGATACCTCTAGCCAAGATATAGAAGAAAATAAAGCATCATTTCATAAGAGGGAAAAAATCTGAGAAGGATATTTTCCTCAAGGCTGAGGACAGCTATTTCCCTAAAAGAGCAATAGCTTCTAACTATTGAACTAAAAGGTCATTAAAGAGCCTACTCTTCTGCTAAGAGACAGAACCATGGCCAAGGATTTCAGCTAAAAACCAGAAACTGGATGGCAGAGAAAAGCTCTACAGCTGGGCACCTGGTCTTGACTTAGAGATATTTAACTATATCATTTCTATCTGTAGACTCAACTTCAGGCACAAAACTCTTGAATATAAAACAGACTCTGTAGCTAAGTAGCTAGTTAGTACCCTAGGTGGCTAGTTCTCTAGGTAGTTTGTAACCTAGGGAGCTAGTACCCTAGGTAGCTTGCACTCTATGCAACTCATCACCTAGACAAGTAGTAGCCTAGGCAGCTAGTACCCTAGATTACTATTATATAACTAATACCCTAGGTAGCTAGGATTCTAGGCAGCTTGTACCCTAAGCAGCTAGTATCTAGTTCTCTAGGTAGCTTGTAACCTAGGGAACTAGCACATAGCTAGAACCCTATGTAGCTTATACCCTTTGCAACTTGTAACTTAGACAGGTAGTAGCTTAGGCAGCTAGTACTCTAAGTAGCTAGTACCCTTAGTGGATAGTGTTTTAAGCAGTTAGCTTCCAGCAGATAATACATGTCTAGCCAAGCAACACCTAACGGACCCTGTGTACATCAGAAAATAGCAGAACAACATCCAGAGTAGTAAGATCTGACACAGACTCCATGTCTGGTGGAGACCAGTAGGGAGCAGGCTAAGGGGAGCAGCAGACTATCACCAGAGACTTCTGCACCTTCCAGTGTAGATGGGTGAATGTCCCTTCACTTAACTTCTCTATATGTATGTCCAATCACACTTGTGGCAAAGACAACAACCAATGAGGAAAAGGCTGCTAAATGATGTGGGTGTTGGGGTGGAAAAGGTTGGGATGGAGAGGAGGAGTTCACTTCAGTCTTATAACTGGTAGTTTCCTATTTGAACTAATTAATCTTATTAACTAAACTAATAACAGCTAATGAGTATATAGTACCTACTATGCACCAGGTGCTGTGTTAAGCACTTTACAAATATTATCTCATTTTATCCTCAATACCAACCCTGGGAGATGGGTGCTATTAATAGCTCCATTTTACATGTGAGGAAACTGAGGCAAATGTGAGTTAAGTGACTTCAAAGCTAGTAAGTGTCTGAGGTCACATTTGAACTCAAGTCTTCCTAATTCCAGGCATGGCTTTCTATCTACTGTACTATCTAGCTATCTCCGCTATTGAAGGACTAAACTAAAAGTGCTGTCAGAGGGCACTGCCACTCTGATACTCTGGGGGCTTATGGCCTGTCCACAGGTATGCCTCTCTATACATATTCCTTATGTGCATCTACTCTTCTCATTGATGATATGTTTTTTCATGGAAACTGTGCCACCAGTTTATGGGGAAATATTTTGTTTTTCTTTTTCTTAATATGCTATCTCATTAAATACCTTTGCTTTGAACTTTGTCTTGTGGCTTACTATTAGAGGTAAGCACATTGATGGACCTATGTGGAACTACAAAATACCTTGAACCTGGGATAGCCAGCATCCATATGAATTAGGGTAGGGAGGGAAGATGCCCCCAGGTGCTACATAGACAAGACACGAGAACACCAGACAAATTCTAATTATCTAATGAGATCTACAGACTTTTCACTTTGTCACTTCTCTCCACTACCTTCCCTCTCCCTCCCTGGATCCTGGGTTTTTTGGCTCCACTTGGTAGAAGGCTTAAAGTATTTAGCAGACAGCAGACAAAGCCCATGCACACAAGACACAAGTACACAAGATAATCATTTAATGAGATCTACATACCTTGTTTCACCTTGTTGAGGTTCTCCAGAAGATTTCCTCTCTATCCTTGGATGCTAGGCTCTCTGGCCCCACTTGGCAGATGAGAATCTATTTAGCAAACAACATATGGCACAAGGTCACAAGGGGACACAAGATAAAATCCATTTCTATAACGCAGTCTACACATCTTATTTGACTTTATTGCTGTTATATAGAACTTTCCTCCTACTTCCCTACAAATTACAGCCTCCATTCTCTTACTGCTACACAAGATGATAATAAAGCAAAACAGGCAGAATAAGAATTTAAAATAATTCTAAAGACATTCAGAGAAGAAGAAAACACAATTATTAGCCTCAATCACATACCCTCATTCAGAATCTAACCATCAAATCTAGCTAACTTAAATTTGTCTTTTAGGAAATGAAGAACAGCTGCTCAGAACAAAGACATAGATGTAGATAAAGCTAGATGTATAAATATACATATGTTCTGGGAATATATATGTTCATGGATATGTACACAGATTTTTTTAACATTTATATTAATATGTGTAATAACCCCTCTCCTTCCTAATGCCTCATCATGTCGTGGAAGTGATTCTAGTTTCTTAAAGGCTACGCACAGAGTTCCTGCCAAGCTAGAAAAGTTTCAAATATGGAACCAGCATTAAACTGTATCAGAGTTGTAACTAAAGGCGGGCTGACAGGGCTTTGCCCCTAAAGTATCAGAGTGGCAGTGCCCTCTGACAGCACTTTTAGTTTAGTCCTTCAATAGCAGGGATAGCTAGATGGTACAGTGGATAGAAAGCCATGCCTGGAATCAGGAAGACTTGAGTTCAAATGTGGCCTCAGATACTTACTAGCTTTGAAGTCACTTAACTCACATTTGCCTCAGTTTCCTCACATGTAAAATGGAGCTTAATAGCACCCACCTCCCAGGGTTTGTGTTGAGGATAAAATGAGATAATATTTGTAAAGTATTTAGCACAGCACCTGGTACATAGTAGGCACTATATACTCATTAGCTGTTATTAGTTTAGTTAATAAGACTAATTAGTTCAAATAGGAAACTACCAGTTATAAGACTGAAGTGAACTCCTCCTCTCCATCCCAACCTTTTCCACCCCAACACCCACATCACTTAGAAGCCTTTTCATCAGTGGTCATTGCCTTTGCCTTCTTCCCCAGAACACTAGTGGTGCTTGCTCTGGGTTGTTTACCATACTTTCTCCAGACCAAAAAAAAAAAATTCCTAATTATAACTGAACTCTATGTCACCTGAGAACTAAGCTAGCCAAGTTCAGAGAAGGTCATCACCAGAAGGCTGTCAGTACTAGGTAATGAACTTTTGGCTATACAAGTGCCTGAAAATGGTCTCTTTTAAGTACAGGAGAATTATGATCAGGGTCAATGGGGGGGAGTACCTATCACAGCATAAGCTTTTGAAGTGTTGAAATATTAAAATTAATCATTATACAGGAAAGGTAATGTAAAACAGCAATTGGAAAGCTGGCTTCAGAATCAAATGACCTGAATTCAAGTTTCACCTCTAACATTCAGTAGCTTCTGACCTTGAACACATCCCTTAAACTTTCAATGTCCCAGGCAACTATCTGCACCTATAAATTGCAAAAAAAAACATGCTGATCTGCATTTGTGGAAAGACTTCCCCTTACTGGGAATAGCCTACCTCCGTGAAATCCCAGGACTACACATTGCCCCAAAATTTCTAGACATAAAGATCAACAGCTCTTCTTTTGTCTTCTCTTAAGTAATAAGACATCATCCTTTGTCTTCTGTTTTCATCCCTTTCAGCTTCATTGCCTTCCTCTCAATTCTCAAGTTCTCTATGAGAAGGCCCATAACTGAACATCTGATTTGAGTGGCAAAAGCAGCAGAAAGCTACTGGTAACATAGAGGAAAAGACTATATAGGAAAATCAATCAAGTAATTAATAAATATTTACTCTGGGAACTCATCAGTATCCATATCTATACAGCATAACCAAGTCAAGACAAATCATTTAAGTATTGTCAAAATCAAGCCCTACGCCATGGCTCACTCATCCAATAACCAATTCCAACTTGGTTGATGACCAAATTAAATGGACAAATTAAGATGACCAAGAGTTGACATTCTTGATTCAATGATGTACATGTATATGTGTATATGGTCTTGTGTGACTAATAAGGACTCAGTCTACCCAAGAGACTGAATCAACTACATTAAGGCTAATGACTAAGAAATGATTGGATCAAGAATGGTCCATCTAACTTGGTCATCTTAATTTGTCATGTGCATGCTAGTGATAAAAAGAGGTCCAGAAATTATGTTCCCTCCCCTCTTCCCAGTGACTTAAATTAAAATGAAAAGAAAAAACCAAACATTCTGCTTCATCTTTGACCTGACTTCATTTCTCTTTCCCTTCTCTCTATTCTCTCCCTCCAAGAACTTCTCCACTTTGGCTGTCACTTATCTCTCACCTAATCTACAATATACTCCATATGCTGATAATGTCTAAATCTATACCTGAGAGTCCTGACGGTTCTTCTAAGTTCCCACATCTCCAATTGCCTAATTTCCCTTGTGTCATCAGTATCTATCATCATGTCATCAGTACCCCAGATAACCAGGTTCCAAAAATCCTGCCGCAGCTTTCTGCTTTGGCTCCATCTTCAATGTCTCACTCCTCCCAATCCATCCTTCCGTAAACCATTGCCAGATTCATCTTCCCAAAATACTGCTTTTCATCATAGCACTTCCCTGCTCAAGAACCTTCAACTGCTGCCCATTCCTTACTGGGTTAAATCCAAACCTTCTAGCCTGGTTTTCAAGGCACTCCAGAACCTGGCTCTCCCTTGCCTTGCCTTGCCTCCCTTGGAAATCCAACGCCTTAATCCAATGCAACTGTAACCCAAAACTCTAGCCAGACTGATGTACTCACTGTATCCTGAATTCTTCTTGTGCATTTTTAACTCTGCTTTTGCTTACACTCTTCTGGGTAAGCCAGAATGCCCTCCCTGACCCTCCTCACCTCTCCAAATCCTACCCATCCTTCCAATTCAGTCCTGCCTCCTCCTTGAAACCTTCTTTCCCTCATCATTTCAGCCTATAGAGAGCTTTACCTCCTTCTGAACTATCATAGCACCTATTATTTGTATTATTAATTATATTATTATTTAACTTGTTATTCACGTATGTTCCACCTATCCTACTGGACTCTAAATTCTCTGAGATTTGCGACTACATCTTAGACTTCTTTGTATGCACACATAGCTTTACATTGTGCTAGACATGTAGTAGTAAGCACTTAAATTTGTTTTAGAATTAATGTGTTAGGGAAATGATGAAGGCAGAAAAAAGACAGAAAAAACTCAGTGGTGACAGGATAGCTGCCTTCTAATACTTAAAGGGCTGTCACAGAGAAGAGATTAGACTTGTTCTCTTGCTAGTGAGGGTAGCAGGGTGTTTTGTACTATATTTATTTATATTATATTTATATATAAGTATGCATTTATATAATATATAATAACACATTTTATAGATATAATAATATACAAATTTATACATTTATATTTATTTCTATTATGTTATATTTAACAACTGGCTCTCCAAAAAGGCACAACACAGTTTAAAATTTAATCTGCATTTTTAACATTTTCTCCATCACTTCCTTAAGTTTAGACAACTAACAAAACAATCTATCAAACCCTGATTTGTACCATTTGCAGATTTCCCAGGTATAAATGCTTACAATGAAAATTAAGCAACTCATAGTTAGAGCTGGCTCCAGCAAACCCCTCTGTGGCCTGAGGGGGCAGAACTAAGAGCAAAGGTAGCTGTGTGGTCCAGTGGATAGGACAGGAAGGCCTGAGTTTAAATGTAGCCTCAGATGCTTACTAGCTGGGTGACCTGGGCAAGTCACTTAACTTCTGTTTGCTGCAGCTTCCTCAACTGTAAAATGGAGACAACAATCGTGCCTGCTTCCCAGGGCTGCTGCAAGGATCCAATGAGATAATGTTTGTAAAGCACATAGCACAGTGTTTGGCACACAGTAGGTGCTATGTAAATGCTAGCTGTCATTACTGTTATTATTGATATGGAGCAGGGAAGGCCCTCTCCTACTACAGAGTTCTCAAGACACAGCAGGGGCTTCCTTGGAGTGCAAACATTTTCATATACATTATGGCTCCTTGTGAAAACACTGGGATAATATTAAGGAACAGTGTGCTATGGTGGAAAGAGCCCTACCTAGACTCAGAGTCAAGAGACCTGAGTTCCAATCCCTCCAGTGAAGAAGAAATTCACTACCTGATTTAGACTGAACTTGAACATTTCTCGAGGATAATATCTGCATGTGCAAGCCAGGATCCAAAATAGTTCTTTCATCTATCCCTATGGCCACAACCCTAATTCAGGTTTTCATTATCTCTCACCTGGGTTACTGCAATAGATTCTTTACTGGACTCCCCATCTCCAACGTCTCCCCTTGCCCAGAGCTCCCTACCCTCAGTCCATACCATGCGACACTTCGAAGTGGCCCTCCTAAATCACTGGCTTAGTTAATGTTGCCCCTCCCCTTCTCCCACAAAAAAAAAACCCTTCATGACTACACATTGTTGTATAGACTAAGTCTGGGATTCATAACCCTCTTTAATATGGCCCCAATCTATCTTTGCAAACTAATCTCCTACTTAACTCCTGTATGTATATATTCTACATTTTGACCTGATTTGTATCTTCTGACTCACAAGGCCACTCAAACTAATTTTAAGATTATAATCAGAAGATCTGAGTTTTAATCTCAGCTTTGATAATAGCTGTATAACCTTGGGCAAATCACTTCACCTTTGAGCCTCAATTTCCTCCTCTTTCAAATGGGAATATAAATACCTTCACTACCTGTCATACAGGACTGTTATAAGAAATGTGTTTTATAATCCTTAAAAATATAAATAAATTTGAATTATTATGCAATTGCTGATAGTTAGCCTTCCTCGACCCAAAACTGAAAAGGAAGAATAGAAAGAATTAACTTAAACAAGTCAAGACTGTCTAATCAACTAAAAAATACAATACGACTCTCCAAAATTACAGGTAGACTGG